CATAGGTTTCTGCCAATAACTTGGTCTCTCCCCGGGGTTTTCCATTTCAAAAGAGCCACCGTATACCGGGGTCAGCCAAGTCCGAAAGCAGATAGCGCCAGGCATCCAGCTGGCCACAATGCCCCGTCGGCCCATCTCCGACAGACTCCGAGAACCTCTCCGCCCATCTCTCCTGCCGTCACCCAAGTTTAAACAGGTGCCTTTTGCTGTGGCCCATTCTGTGTAGCACTGAACCCCAGGCTAAGTACATCCCTCACTCTATCATGGCTTTAAGGCAAGTTGATCGTTTGTGCACATAAAATTCACCCTTTCCAGTGTATAGGTTGATGAGTTTTGACAGCTATGGAACCCCGACTACAACCAGGGTGTAGAATGTTTCCACCACCCCAGAGAATTCTCCCGAGACCCTTAGGATCAATTCCCTGCCCTGCCCTGGGCCTCGAGACCACCAAATTGACTTCTGGGTTATGGTTCTGCCTTTCCTAGGATGTCACATACACGGGACCTTCAAGATACGACCAGTCTGACATATGAACGACTTGGGTTACCACTTATGAACAAGGTCTTGAGTTACAACCTGAATGCCAGCTGCTTGGGCTTCCAGATGGTCTCCCATACAATTTAACCCTTAAAGAGTTCTGGAAGGAACATTCCAACATCCTTTCCTGTGTGGGGATAACTGAGAAATCCTGGGCCAGTGTCTCTCTCTAAGGACACTGAGATCTGCCTGTGCGCAGGAAGAGACTTTGAAGGCTGTGGAGAGGAGTCTGGGCCTTCACTGACCAACGTGAGTTACAACCAGCCCTCGAGAATGAATTGAGTTCATGAGTCAAGGGTCCTCTGTAAGTGGGTCTCTTCTCTGGTGTAGTCATTGTATAATAACTGGATGCCTATTTTCCGGCAGGAAAGGAAGGTCGGCAGGCTGAAGGACACGTTCCGCTCAGTAACAACTGTGCTGCCAAAGGCTAGCATGGGGCTTTGCAAACTTCTTTTTTTCACTATTGCTCCATTAAGGAGAAAATCTGAATTTCACTGAAATTCTCCCCGACAAGAGAAATTAAATATGAGAGAGTAAGATTTTGTAAAATGCGTGGGAGGGGCTGTGCTTCACAGGGCAACATCTCAGGCTGCTATAACAAATCACCACAGACTAACGGAAGCGCAGCATCTTACAGCTGTGGACAAGACCAAAGTGCCAGGCGAGGTCCGGATTCCTGGTGTGCAGATAGCTGTCTTCTCCCTGTGACCTCAGATGGCTGAGAAAGAAAGATCCTGTGCCTCCTCAGTATTTTTACTTATTTTATTTTATTTTATTTCATTTTATTTTTGGTACTGGGGATCAAACTCTGGAGCTTCCTCTTGTGAGGCAGGTGGTGGCACCACTGAGCTAAATCCCCAGCCCCCTCCTCAGCTTTTAATAAGGCACTAATCCCATCTTGAGGGCCCCACCCTCTGGACCTAAACCACTACTAAATATTTCCCACAGCCACACCCTAAAAGCCATCACACTGGGAGTTAGGATTTCAATACATGGGTTTGAGGAGACACCAACATTTATCAGTGATGGCAAATTTTTGAGAGCTTTCCATGATAACAAACAGCCCACAATGGCACACGTGCCATAGGTTCGCCACCATTGATTCATTTAAACCATAGTTGGGGGCCACAAAGCATCATAATATCCCATTCTCCCCACTGAGAATGAATTTGTACCCCATGAGGGGATGATGATGCTATCCACTAAGTTAGGATGCCAGGTTTGGGGGCCATGAAGGTGGGTTTTAGACGCCCGAGGTTGACATTGCTTTGGGTTAGTGACGTGCAGTGTTTCCTCCGCTGCTGGATATATGGCACAGGCGAGCAGTTGGGATGAGATACCCAGGCTAGCAGGAAAGACTGGCATAGATGGGACCCAGACACGGAAGGGCTGGTCTCACCAGAAACCGTGTGGCTTGAGAAGATGCGGCAGGATTGTGACCTGGGAAAGCACAGCGCTGGGCTCTGCAGGGAGCCACGGTGAAATCAGCCGCTACCACTGACGTTTAGGTGCCGGCTGGGTGTTTACTATCATCGGCTGTTTTGTGTTTTTGTTTTTGCTGACATAAACCTGTGCCAATGTAATGGGGGGGGAAGAAGGGATGTAGGAAGGGAAGGTAGGCGGGTTGAAGGAAAGGAAAGAAAAGGCAGGTGAGACCCACAGGTGCTGGTGACTGATGAGATATGAAAAGTGACGGAGACAGAGAAGGCCAGTGAGCCCAGCGGTGCCCACTTGGGCCTCAGGGTGAGGGCTGGGATGGGCAGCGAGGCGAAGAAAACGGTTTGGCACAGAGCCAACGGGTTTGGCTTGGTCCTCCGAGTTTCAGGCACCAAGATGTGGAGAACATCAGATGTCTCTGGGCCTCTGTAAGCTCAGAAGAGACACCCAGGTCCCGGGGGGAAGCCAGCAGTTGTCCCTGACCCCCAGGGGGGCCCATTTCTGGGGACCCAGGATCCTGCATCCCACCCTCTCCTTTGGGCTCACCCTCAGCTGTGTCTGCAGCAGGCAGATCCTGACAGGCACAAACTCCTCACCTGGGCAGTGCCCCCTCAAGTGCCCCTCGCGTGCCTTTCCCCTTCCCCCATGCCACAGCCTGCGCTCAGGGGCCACCTGGAAATGCAGGGACCCCACCACCTCCCTGAAGAGTGGGGTCCCTGCCACAAACAGCTGCAGTGCTGGCCATGCACGCTCACCCCGATTTGCCACACCCCTTCCTTCGTTCCCTCTGCCCCCTCGCTCGTTTTTCCTTCAACTAAATTACCTGCACCCAAGCCCGTGTCCCAGGCTGCGCTGAAGGATGCTAGGGGACCGGCTTGACCACACCTTCTCTCTGTCCCATTGCAGAAAAAACTGGATGCAACTTAGGTTTCCACACAGTCCCACCCCGGCATGCGCTCCCTTCCACACCCGTGGACAGGGGCGTCTCGGGCCAGGGGAGCCGATCCTTCCTCCGGCACGGCCAGCTCCTCTTTGGGAAGATGAACAGCTTGGAAGCCATTCCAGCTCTTGATAAGGGGAATTTCTCCAGGTGCCTTTGCGCCCCGATGTAATGAAGAATGACAGGCGCCTGAGTCTGCCTGCCCCGTGTTGGACACGGTGGGGCACAGAGAGGAGTGGATCGGGCCCAGTCTCTGGTGTAGGATGGTGGCGCCCTGCGATGGAACCTGGGAGATTCGTACCCTTCATTGAATCATTCACTGAGCCCCTGCTGTGTGCCAGGCTGTGCCCCCACCCCAGTAGCTGGCTCACGTGCTCCTTGGCTGCCAGGAAGTCTGGGCCCCAAACCTGGGCCTGACTAAGTCGACGGCACTCGAACTTAGCCTCCATCGCCGCTGTCGGATTAGACACACGTCAGGGACTCTTCCTTCAAATTCTTGTGAACTTTCTCAGCCATCCATGAAGGGGGCCGTGCGTCATGGCACACAGGCCTTGTCCCTGGCCAGAGGTGGACTCCGACCAAGCTGGCCAGTCAGCTGTCGTCCTGCGAATGTGGAACTGGGCTGGGACAGCAGGGCAGCGGTAACTGAGGTGGGGACGCTGGGCAGTAAGAGGTGTCACTCCAGACAAGGTGGGCATCTCCCCCAGGCGCAGAACGACCACAGCGGAGAAAGCCAGTCTTGGGACGGGGAGAGAGCGAAGCCCACACTCCTGCTGGCTCCAACATTTCCAAGTCCCCGGGCCCAGCAGCGTGTCCTGCCTCGATCCCATGAATTCTCCTGCGTCCTCCCAGCGATGCCCCCCAATTCCCCTAAGCGGTTTGTGTCTATTTCTGCCACTGACAAGCAAGCAGGCACCGGGCTTCTGTCCTTCCTTTTCCTCACTTCTGCTTAGCACTCCCCAGCACAGATCGCCAAGCACCTGAGGACCAGGGGGTGACGGACTGACTGCCCGATGTCTCTGGTGCTGGGCACGGTCCTGGGTCCTGCCCGCAGTGCCCTCTCCCTCGGACCCTGAGGCCGTCACTGATCCGTGAGGAACTCCTGTGAGGAGGCTCGGTCGCCCTGAGGCCCCAAAGCGCACCGGAAAGAAAAGCAGGTGGAAGCAGGGGCCATTCCGTAACAGGCTGGCCCGGGGGTAGGAGCCCTCCCGACCCCGAGCCGCGGCCTTTACGGAGCAGCCTCGGGGACAGTGTGGGGCCCCCCTCCTGGAGCGGGGAGAGCCTGAAGAGCAGAGGGCTGGCTCTCAGAATGGAGGCAATGCCCTCCTCCCAGGCATCCGCACCCCAGCCTTCTTCCCGTCTTTCTGTTGCCCAGGAGGGCATCCTATCGTCCTCCAGGGCCTCTCCCTGACGCGGACCAACTGCAACAGCGCCACCTCCAGGCCATCCTGAGACGTGCACTTTCCCAACCCCACAATACCCGCGTTACCCTTGGGAGGCCTGGGCCGGGAGGGCGGCGGCTGGGCTTTCCCTGCAAGCTGGTGGGCCCACCAGCTCGCTCCCCGTCTCTGAGCCACTTTGTAGAATGAGGACCGTGATACTGTACTTCCAGGCGTGGCAATGAGGACACAGAGATAACGTGTACCCTTGGCTGCAAGGAAGGACCCGGTAACCAGTTCTGCTAGTGTTCAGAGAGACACCCGTCAGCCTGGCTCCAACAGAAAACTCGCTCCCCTTTCTCTCCCCGCCAGCTTCAGTTCTCAGGTGTGCGGCGTCAGACTGGGTGCAACCTTCAGCTCAGCGCAGGCTCCTTGGCCGCAGGTGGGTCCTTTTGTGTTTTGTCTTTAGTTTTCGTCTATTTCATCCCTCCCCTTGCTTTCTCCTCCCTCCACGGACGCTTACGCTGCCAGTGTGTGTGTGTGTGTGTGTGTGTGTGTGTGTGTGTGTGCGCGCGCGCACGCGCGCGCATGTGCACATGTGAAAACAGACA